GCCCAATCCTTCAACCAACAATAAATTAAGCGCCCAAACTGTCACGAGTTCCTGCAATATCCATTCACAGCCTAACACAACTGACAGCTGTCACACTATCATTCGTGATAGGCCGCCGAGTACGCAGCCTACGTACAGTATCACTTGCATATGCTCGCTTCTGAAAATAGTTTCATCATGATCTTCATTGTATCGATCCTAATCTATGCCGATACATCTTCGTCGTCTAATTGATCCAAGAAACGTGGTGTAATTAATCCATCACGTTCGCACTTCTTTTACCCATCCATCTCATTCAAATTAACGCCATTTCCGTTTATCACTTGCGCTGTTTTTTGCAAAATTTCGTAGAGCGAAGCGGTATAATAAATGTTCATACCACGGCGCTCCTTTGCCACGCCACCCATGCGCACCGAAGCGGTAGGTAGATGTAGCTTGCGGGTATCTCTCTCAGCTGAATCCCGAGATAATTCGTCCAAAATCATCATTTACAGACGGTCAAGGAGACCGTTGCTCTCAAGAAGCAGGACGATCTGGTGCACAATGGATCGGACGTTCTGCTTCTCAAGATCGACAACGAGGTCAGGCTTAGCAGGGGCCTCATAGGGGTCATCAACACCAGTGAAGTTCTTGATGTCACCACGGCGAGCAGCAGCGTAGACACCCTTGCGGTCAGTCTTCTCACAGAACTCGAGAGGAGTAGCAACGTGGACAAGGAAGAAGGGTCCGGACTTCTCAACGAGGTCGCGGGCAGCCTTACGTGCATCCTCGAAAGGAGCAATAGGAGCGGCGATGACAGCGGCACCAGCCTTGGTCAGCTCAGAGGCAACAAAGGCAATGCGCTGGATGTTGAGATCACGGTCCTTGCGAGTGAAGCCAAGCTCAGGAGAGAGCTCGTGTCGCACGTTCTCACCGAGAAGCATGGAGACGGGGCGACCACCACCTTGGTTGAGTGTAGCCTGGAGAGCACGAGCGATCTGGTCCTTTCCGCTGTTCTGGTAACCAGTCATGAAGACAGTGAAACCCTTCTCGGCAGGAAGAGGGTTCTCCTCGCGAAGAACCTTGACGACCTCAGGGTAGGAGAACCACTCGGGGATCTCCTTGCCGGTTCGGAGACGGTGTCGGAGCTCAGTACCAGAGATGTTAAGGGTGCGGGTGCCCTCGGGGATCTCGTTGATGGGGAGATACTCGTCAGAATCGGGGAGGTAGATCATGGCCTGGAACTCGACCATCTTGATACCAAGCTCCTCTTGGTGCTCCTGGACGAGAACCTGAGCATCATAAGGACCGTAGTGGTCCTTGCCCTGCTTGTTCTTACCGGGACCGGCGTGGTCACGGCCAACGATGAAGTGTGTAGCACCGTGGTTCTTTCGGATAATGGCGTGCCAGAGAGCCTCACGGGGACCACCCATTCGCATGGCGAGGGGCAGAAGAGCAAGGGCAGCCATGCCGTTGGGGTATCGGGGCAGGAGAGCCTTGTAGACACGGACACGGGTGAAGTGGTCAATGTCACCGGGCTTGGTGAGACCGACGACGGGCTGGATCAGGACGTTGGCCTGCTGGGAGCGGGCGGCGCGGACCGTCAACTCACGGTGAGCTCGGTGCATGGGGTTTCGGGTCTGGAAAGCGACGACTTTTTGCCAGCCGAGCTTGTTGAAGTGAGCGCGGAGCTCAGAGGGAGTGACTGGTCACGGTTAGTCTAATATTGCGCCTGAATTGCTCGCAGTGACTTACATCGGAGGTCGAGGAAATCATAGTGCTCGAGACGGTTGATGGCCTCAAGCTTACCACCAACGTAGAACTCCTTAGCGGTGTCAAAGAGGTACTTGACACCGGGGTGAGTGTCATCGTCGCTGCCAAAGACCTTCTTGGCCTCGTTGACCCTGTTGCATCCGTATTAGCACCAATGCCCCATGTAGGTGGGCGCTGCCATGATCACGTACTTGTCAGGTCGGTAGACATCCTCGACAGTCAGGATAGCAAGGTTTCGGTCGTCACGGAAATCGCGGAGAGTGATGCGAGCACCAGCCTTGATACCGAGCTGGTCGATCTGGGCCTGGTCAACATCGAGGTTGATAGGCATGGAGAAGAGGGCGCCGTCAGCGAGACGGTTGTTCTCAACAACGCTAGAAAGCTTTTGTTAGCTCATGGACGACGCAATTGAATGATTTTATTGCAACTTACCCATTGTAGTCCTTCTCAGTCAAGAAACCTATAGAACAACCAGTCAATCGCTATTCGTTCTCACTCATGATAGAATCGCTGCCGTCGCAAAGCGCCCGCTGGAGCCGGAGGATGCGGGGGCGGGGCACCGAAGTTAACCCCCCATCATCGCAGCGGGGGGAACAAAAGATCTTCACGAATAAAACAAGAGACGCATACCTTCGAGAGGGGAGAAGCCACCATTGAGGATCAGCTCAAGATCGCAAAGGTGTCGCTCGCTGAGAGTAAGAGCGGGGAGCTTCTGAGCCTCAGCTTCGAGCTCGGCCTGGCGAGGCAGGTCGCGAGCGAAGAGGTCCTTAAGGACACCGCCGTGAGGAGTGTTGGCCATTGTGATGTGAAGTTTTTGTGGTGTTGAGGAGGGAGGAGGATGGACGAGAATGGCAAGAACTGTGTCGCTACTCGGGGGTTTGTAAAAGAAAACTGAAGTTGGAGCACGCAATCGTGGGGGTCAACGATTGCACAGGTGTTACTCGGAGAAGGACGACGACGAACAGACCAGAAACAGAGAACGAGAAGAATGGGAATGAACAGTAGGAGAGAAGGATGTGCTTTTGATTTTAAATCGACTACCTTACCCAGCGGGATATAGAAAAGTTCCTCGATCTTCAAGCCCATCCACTATGAGAGTACGGATACCACATCCACCACATTACCCATCCAATTCTTACATCCACCCTGTCATGATTAGTCCCCTCTCCCCGTCCTTATTACTGGGGTTAATTGGACTGGAGGGGTGTGTCTGATACAGCAAGTAAGGCAAGAAAAAATTGCGTTTCCATAGGCAAAACGGACGAAATCGGCCAGTGCACCCAATCCTCATCCTCTGAACGTATCCTCGCCCTCGAAAAGAGGAAAAAACAATGGGGTCCTGGTTTTAGCTCTCAATGACGTGCTCGGAGCTTGAGGCTTATACATGCCGCCGACGACCCAGAAGACCAATCAGAGACGAAATGGCCGGACAATGCGGCACTAGGTCGTCGGAGCATCGCTCTCGGCGGCGTTGGAGAGCATGGGGGGCATCATGATCAGAAACTTGGGCAAATTCTACTGTTTCCGAGGAGGTTATTGCAGTTATTACAGGCGCTGATGTTACGGCTTACACGCTGAAGAGATGTCGATGCTCGGAACTCGCATCACATCAAAATGCGATTACAAAGCGGAACGAGATGCACAACATGGATTATCAGTTTCCTATTCGAATCTCTCATTACCAATTCAGTTCCTGGTACCTTGGAAGCGGCAAGGAAATTCTTCAAGAGCTCCACTGCTACAGCTGCAGTAGGGTCCCTCTCTAAAACCCCCTGTCTGCGCTTCAGTACCCATCCTGAGCGCAAGGGCAAACGAAATAGATTCAACGGACATGTTCCATGGCATGACCAGTTGACCACCCATTCATCCACATGGAACTCATGGTTTGCATCTATATCCACTAATAGTTTGCTTCCATGAAGAATCGTGGCTTATTAAGGTTCTCTACCGGATATCTTGTTCAAGCTGACTTGTCTTGTCATGGAGATACTGGAGTTGAAATCATCTTGAACATGAGACCCTTTCGTCGACGCCAGAATACAATCACTTGTCTGATCGTGATCCTCTGTAACCTTGTATCTATACGGTTGCTGGGGCGTATGTATTTATTCAGTTTCCATCGACTTGGGGCGTCAAGTCTCCCCGAGTCACCGCGGTTATCGGGGCGAATCGCGGTCGGGCGATCGCCCGAAATGGGGAAAAGACGAAGCACGCCTTTTTTCAATTCCCCTCAGTCATGATAGATCAGAGATCCTACCTTAGTAATCACGCAATTATGTGACGTTGATACGACACTTTTGAAGGGTTGACTGATCGGCAAGGCCACGCGGAAGTAAATCTTTAATTTGGAGATCGTTTTTTTTCTCATGCAGGGCAAACATTGAAAATTTCCCATACGGCTCACTTGTCTTCTCCGAGACCTGGCTATGACTGAAAGGTCTGTGTTAACAAGCTAGGAGAGGTATGACTGGGCAACACACTGCAGGTATCCAGCTTCGCAAGGTACCCTTTGAAGCCCTGCACATAGAGTCTATGGGATGGTTCTTTTTGGGTCCGAGGTTGCTGTCATTTGTTGATTGATTTCTTTTTAATCGAGTTCTTGGCAACACCCTTGGTGACCTGAAATGAGCTTCGAATACTCGCTCAGATACTGTATATCAGGTTGTGCACACAGAAGATGCTGGAGAAAGGCAGCAGCTGACAAGCTTGCCTCATTTTGTGGCATTTAGTCGCCATCGGCCGCCAAGACCCAATCCCACGATCTAGCCCCATTCACCCACCCGCATCTTGACGGCACCTGGCAACTCAAGGTGGATGAGGAAGCCAAGAGTCATTGCTTGGGTTAAAACTGCCACCGACGGTCCGAAAGCTGGTTATACATATATAACGCAGACGTGCCCGTTCTTGAAGCTGCTCGTCTGCTAATCGTACACCATGAGAACCAAGCCTTGAAGACTGATTGCGTTGGTGATGTGGTTCTCAAATCCCTCTGGGGCATGGGGAAAAAAAAATCAGGCCCTTGATACTAAATGATAAAGACTTAGGTGACTTGGTATAGATTAAGGATACCCTTTACTGGATTTATTTTAATAATCTACACTAAGATCTGATATTTTCTTGCTCCCTAAGGTCAAGTTCTACTTTCTCCTTACATCAACACTATCTACACCATCCCCTGTCTACACCATGACCCTGCTTTCATTCCCCGCTACAAGATCCTAGACCAACCTTTCATCAAAGCACACATCATGGATGACCCAACTCCGAATGGAGTTCCTTACCTATATCCTCTCAATATGTCCCCTACAGCATTCGAGAGCGCCATCAACAAGGCATGCGAGACTGCGGTCAACAATGCCCTCAACAATGCCCCCAACGGTTTACAGGAACATATTGACAGTGTTGTCATTACTGAAGTCGCTGCTCAGAGAGAGTAACTCAGCCAATATGTCGCTGCCCAAGTCACCACTGAACTCAAGCAAGTATTGCATACTCTCCTAGACTCTTAGAAAAAGGGGAGGCGATCTATCGCATATAGACTTACCAGCATTGAAGAAGAACTTTGAAGTATAACATCCAATACTGAAATAGGTAGTTAAAGCAATCTAATCACACGGAAGCTTCGTTCTAAGTACTACGTACTCACAACATGACTCAGTATAGCAATGTTTTGCTCGCTGTTACCGACTTCTGGCGTCACCATCGGGGAGTTGGCTGTTATCGATTGGCCAGCAACGCTTCTCCAAAACTAAAAATCAAGAGGCGGGGAATTGTCTCTTCCACGTGTCGGGCTTGCAATGAAAGCGACTATTTTCTGCAACTTGGCAGCCCTTGGGCCGTCCTTTGATTGGAGAGAGCAGTGAAAGTGATGCATCATGACAATAGCAGCTACAGAGCGTTGAGCGAAGCGGGTTGAAGCAGAAACTTGACATGCAACAAGGGAGTGCAAGAAAGCTTAGAACCTCTATCCCAAGTGACAAAAAGACACGAATCAATTTGGTATAAATTTAGGGGAGCTTAGATTAGGTGTTTTTGACACCTTAGTTCAACATCAGAGGTTTTCTTGCTTCCTGACCGGGTCTAGAACATGTCGTGATAGAAGTAGATACCGAAAAACGATAAGCGTAGTCTCGTAAATTGAGAGCATTCTCGCTACTGCTCACGCCAAATTTAGTGCATGCCCAGAAAATGTGGTTGGATCAGACTTCTCCAAGATCTAATCCCAACCTTCCCTGTTTTCGTCCACTACCAAGATTCAATACTTGTTCTAGTCTCAATTTGTCGTTATCTCTGTTTTTGACTCGAGCAGAATCGGTTCAGTCTCTCAAATCCAACACCTTGCATTCTTCGCCTGTTGAGAATTAAATCTCGAACTTTTCCCTCTAATTAAAACCCCTGCAGCTGCCATCCCGCCAACCTTAAATTCCCGTTCGGCGTGAGGTTGCCGATCTTTAGTGGCTTCTCCCTGCCGCTGCGCCACTGTTGTGTCTCTCAAAAGTCTTGGGGGGGTTACACCTACGTCAAACAAAGACGAGATTTTGCATTGGCACAAAGAACACCAAGCTTTAATCTCCCGTGCGTAACTGGGCTTCTTTTCCCTCCTCTGCCTAGAACAACCTCCGTATGCTCGATCGTCGATAACGCTGCGTTCACCTTTTTGCGCCGAACCCCCCTTACGCCGTTATAGCCGCATGCGAAATTATCGAAATATTGCTCGAGAACGTCAACTTCCTATCCGAGTCCTGCAGTTCCTGATCTACATGCCCGAATCGACCAAATTTCCACCGCCAAACTCCTCGATACCGTTACACGCTCCTTTCTCTGGACTAAGATAATATTTGAACAAAAGAGATTGACGAGGATATCGTAAAGACCGCCCTGGCGGGCTTGCCCGCGTTCCGCTTCTTCCGACCCCCTGACCACATCTCACCGTCAAGATGTTCGCGACACAACGACCTCTAGCGGCATTGTCATGCCTTCTCTCCGCTCTAAGCGTTATCCCTAATGTATGCGCCCAAGACAAGGTTTACATCAACGGAACTGGCGACAATGGAGTTTTCCACGAACGGCTCGATGTTAGTCGGACACCATCATTATATACGGGCGACTTTGACGACTGCCTGAATGATGGAAGTCTGTTCAATGTGACGGGTTTCGATACGGCTTATTACTCTGATAACCTCACTGTGTCATTTCACGTCTATGGAAGCACCAATATCCGCCAGGAAAGCGTCATGAGTATGTTGCGAAACTTTATTACGCCCTGCTTGACCAGTCTAACCAGATTCTAGTGCATCTTTCTATTGAGGTATATGGGGAAGAGCGTTTTAACAAAACTTACGACCCTTGTGCGGAAAATGTCACGAGCCTTTGCCCGTTGAAGGCCGGCCAACCCATCGAGGCATACATTACAACTTCAATATCTGCCAATGACATCGCAGGCATTCCGTCAATTGCTCTCAATATTCCCGACCTGGAAGGTTACTCACGCATCCGGATATTCGCCAACTCAACACAGACAGAAATTGGATGCTTCCAGGCTACTATGAGTAACGGAAGGACCTTTTCACAGCCTGAGATTGTGGGATCAATACTGGGAGCTTTCACCGTGTTCGCGGTGTTGGCCTCATTTGCAACAGCGATCTATGGCGTTCAGATCCCGCATATAAGAATGCACTACGCCCATTCTTTTTCGATTTTGATCATTTTCGAAACCTTCCAATCAATATTCTTTTCCGGGGCACTGTCTGTCAACTGGCCTGCCCTGCTTCCTGCCTGGTGGAGCAATTTTGCATGGACTGCTGGCATGTTTGCAAGCCTTGACATGATTGATGCTATCAGCCCATTTGCTGGCGTGTCTGGGAACGCCAGTCAAGTTGGCTCTGCAGGGTCGGTCCCCATCAACAACGGCGGTGGTCTTGCGCAGCAGATCTTCGGCAGAAGCCTTGGAAGCCGATCTGTTCCCCAACTTGAGAGTGTTGTCCACTCGTTAACCCGTCGCCACGACTTCAACTCTAGCAACCCATATGATTATGACTGGGCTGGCGAACCTCGAAATCCTGGAATGCCACTCCCAGGTGACTATTCTGGCTTCCCTGGTGTACTGTCTGTGGTCGGCATCCCTCGAAATGACGCGTTCATCATCGGGCTCATCTGGTTCCTTGTTATCCTAGCGGCCGTTGCCCTATTCGTGGCAACATCCAAGTTTGTGCTTGAGTTGTGTCACAAATTCAAGCTTATCAAGTCCGATGGCTTTGACTTCTTTCGCTCTCATTGGGTCGGATACATGGCTGCGGGCCTACTTCGAACGCTATTTATCGCTTTCTTCGTCATGATGACACTGGCCATGTTCCAGTTCTCGATCAACGGTCCGCCGGGGCCGACTGCTATCGCTGCAGTCATCTTCGTGATGTTCTTGGGCTTTGCTGGCCTCACAGCGTATGCTTGCTCATCCAGGCTACGTGAAGGTAAGTATGAGGTCGTATCCGATACGCTTCGCTTTGAGCAAGGGTTGGTCCTCAAGAAAATTCCATTTGTGGCAACGACACTTGCAAGCTCCATCGGTGAGGAGGAACAGGCTCACAAACCGCGCCTCTTTGCCAGTCTGCCTATTCGCCGCATCAAGTTTGTCGACAAGGACCCCGAAAGACCAAAAGTTCATCAAGATGAGCCCTACATCAAGCGTTATGGTTGGCTGTCGGCACGATATCGACTCTCTCGATGGTGGTTCTTTACAGTCTACTTAGCATATCAGTTTGTCCGAGCATGCTTCATCGGCGGAGGTCGAGCAAGCCCCTTGGCTCAGGTCTATGGTCTCTTTGTCTTTGAACTCGTCGCTTTGGTCATTATCATCAAACTCAAGCCATTTGAAGGATCTCGCAATACGACAGCAGCGATTTGGTTACTATCGATCTCGAAGATCATCACTACTGGCCTTTCCATTGCATTCTTGAGAACTCTCGACCTCAGCCGCGTTGCAGCAACAGCCATTGGCATGATAATCCTTGTGGTCCAGTGTTTCCTTGCCGCAGCCATCTTGGTCCTGATCGTCCTCGGAATGATATCGTCGTGGATGTCTCTGTCTCGCAACCGCGAGGACTTCCCAGATAAGATAGATGATTTGCGAGTAAGGTATTTCGAGCACATGGAAGATAGAGCAGGTACATCAAGGCCCAAGGAAGACGAAGTGGATGAGCTTGCGGAGTTATCCAAGTCCATCTTCAGTGTCAGCAATGTTCGACGTAATACCCAGATCAACGCGTTCCCGATGGTAGAGGGCGCAAACTCGCAAGTTCCGCCTCATCCGGCGCATCCACTCAACCGACGCAGGGCAAACAGTGGAGGTTCAAGTCGTCACTCAGTCAATAGTCTGCCTCGAAGTGGCCGCACCCACCGTGCATCGTGGAGCGCAAAAGACTTTGCAGAGTGGGATGCCGACATGAACAGAGGAGACACATCACGAATGAGTCGCATGCGAACTAGCTCCTTGCGTATGCAAGCATCGAGATACTCTGGTAGTCGGCCACCAATGACGCCGACTCGAGAATCCGCCGAGTTTCCTCGTACAAGTGTTCATACCATGAGCCCAGAGGACAAAGATGCGATCGTACAAGACAAGATCGAGGAGAATGCTGCTACGCCCAAGAGAAGAAAGAGGGCCGTGAGCTGGGCAGACCAGAGTTCAATCTGCGAGGAACCCATCAACGAGGTTCAGAAGGTGGACGATAAGCCACTCGAGAAGATAGACTCGACTGGTGGCCGAGAAGAAGAAGAGGCCAAGCCAAAGTCCGAACCATAGTCGCCTCGGACCTTTTGAGGGAATCTTGGATTGTGCCTCACAAGGTGGCATCGTCGTTTACTTGCATTTGGGTTTCAGTATGACCACGGCGCTTTGCATTTACCCATATTCCCCCTGTACCCAGTCAGCAAACGCTTGACTGCTGGGTTTCAACCATTGCATTTTGTACATATCGAGCATGATTCGGTCCTCCTGCCGGTACAGGAAGCGACTTGCAAATTATTTCCATTGGAGTATATTGAGACGCGACACGAAAACACAAAGACTATAGAGGAACTAGTCAACAATGATGTCTGGAGTTTCAGGTTTTGGGACCTCAGATTGAGAACAACTATAGATAGTTAATACATCACTTATGATTCGAGCACAATACATTTGCAATTGACGTGCAACGTACCGGACTATTATCATCTGTATGTGACATTGCCCTTGAAAGTGCTGGCAGTGCACAAAACTCAATGGTCAAGCATCGCATTAAACAAGGCGTGTTGCACGGTCATTTCAGTGTCTAAAATACTAAGATTTGACAATTGTCGTCTAACTCTAATAATAAATCATGTCTAAAACACTGGGAATTGGCCGTTGTCATCGAGACCTAATAATAGACTAGGAATAGAACACTCAAGCATCTCTTGTTGATGTGATCGGGCTCTCCGTGGTTACTACGTTGCACATCCTTCAGCCTTCCAACCATGAATTTACAGATATATCTCTTGCTAGCAGTCACGGTAAGTTCTCGT